AAGGCTAACCAAATGTCACCAACACACCAGAATGAACAGTAAAAAAACCAGATATAAAAGGAAAGGTTGGTTACCAAAATTGAAGAAAAAAAAATTCTGATTGGGGTTCCATTTTAAAGAAACAGAGGGGATTGGGAGCTAATTTACGGAGAAGGGAGGGCAGAAAGATCCAATCAAAGAAGGACAAAGCAGACAATATAAGCTCAAGAATAAGACAAGCAGCAAAAGAGACAGCAGGCAGAAAATCAACCAAAAGAACACTCTCCACTGTTCCAGGTTGGTATTTCTCAAATCCAAACACAATCCATATTTCATCTATCTATAAGAGTAGTCATATATCCATTCATTCATCTACCTAACAAGCATAGTTGAAAGTAGAAATGAGTGTTTCTTCATGATAATTTGTATGTATATGATAGATCCATCAATATTATTAATCCCCAAGCCAAGCCACTATTGCATGCGGAAATTTTGCTCCTCTTAACTTGCATCACTATTCAAATAAGGGAATAATCTCATGCGGCGACACCACGATACTGCAACATACCCACAAAGCCTTTCTCGACTACTTCCATGTTGTAATCCCCTGCGGGCTGCGGCGACACCCACAATACTGCATCATACCAACGAAGCCTTTCTCGCCTACTTCCATGCAATTTTGCAACCCACCAACAAAGCATTTCTCAGCTACTTCCATTCACTTTTGTATTAGGTTGGGCACGTTAAGCCTCTCAATCTACAAAAATCCGGCCAACAATTGTTAACCACGAAGGAAATCCGACGTTGGTAACTTTATAGAATCCCGATACATGCTAATCGGTAAAACACCGGCGAATCTTCGATCAGAAGGGTCGTCGATTCAGGTGAGTTCGCAATTAATAAATGTCTGCACAACCCTCACCATCTCTCTGAGAGAGTACAATTGTACATTTAATGTATCTCTTTCCCTTTTCGTTGTTTTCGTTATAAAAGCTCACAATTCACCATAAAACTCTCTATCATTATATCACACAATATGAAAATTTTGTGTAATGTTATTCTATAACTGTTACGTAATTACATGTCTCTGTGGGAGTACTACAGTACGTTTAGTTTATCCCTTTTTCGTTTTGTTGTTTTCATTATAAAAGCTCACAATTCACCATAAAACTCTTTATCATTAGATCACACAATACGAAAAATTTTGCGTAATGTTATTCTATATGTGTAATATTTTTGTTTGCAATACACTAACAGTTTAATCAAATGTAATAGTTTTATTAACTTAATTTTATTATTAGACCGCATAGTACGAAAGATTTGTGTAACACTATTCTATGACAATTACGTAATTACAAATTATTATATAAATAGCGCCTATTTGGTTTAAGGGGTCCAGTGGGGAGTGGGCGGGTCTACCATAAGTAGACTGCAGACCACACGGATCGCCGTCAATATATGCCAAGTCTTGATCTCTACGGGGATCGCCGTCCACATACATGCTGGATGTTGATCTCGGCCGTTGAATTCTCTCCTCCCCGCGTCGATTCATCTTCTCTCCATCCCCGCATTTCTCTGATCTCCCACGGCATCGGCTGGCGGCTATCCAAGTCGTATAGAACCTTGGTGGTCTTCCCTCCACAATCTTGGCTAATCCCTCACAAAATCTCTGTTGTTTCCCTGGCGATTGAACGAATAATAGGCAAACAACGCATGCATGCATCCATCTTCTTCCTTCCAGCAGGCAATATCGATTGCCACTTTTTAGGCTTTCAATAATCAAGGTTGGTTCATTTGACAATCACATTACATAAAATATATAGGTTTTATACTAGCATATAGTCTATGATAATTCGTACAATTGTTAATTTATTTCTTTTCTATCTAACTAGCAAGAAACTATTTGAAATTAAAGTATAATGAAATTTAGAACTTAACATGATATATGAGATGTTTCTGCCAATGCAGTCAAAAGCGCGATTCTACCTAGAAGCGGTTGGGTGACCTAGAAGCGTAAAACCGTAAGCTTTTATGTTTTAAAGCGTAGATTTTGACTACATTTGTAAAGAAAAATCATGATTCTACGTAGAAGCGTTTTGGTGACCCGAAAAGGTAAAAGCGTAAGTTTTTAAGTTTTAAAACGCGATTTTGACTGCATTGGTTTCTGCAAGTTAACTCTATAATGCTTTGTCGTAGAATATCAACAGTTTGTTCAAACAAGATTATATTGGATCATTTGTAACTAGCTGTGTCATTATATATGTAGGTTTCTCTTACATTCACTGTATTTTCAGTTGTTTGTCTCTTATTTCATTTTACTACTTGGTACTAGCGATATTTTTAATGCTTCCATTGCACAGCTAACACTTTCTTGACCTTCCAAGAATCTTATTAGAAATTTTGAATAATTCGTAGCATATTGAGTATGATGTTTTCTTTGAATTAGAAATTTAACATGTTGTGAACTTGATTACAAACCATTTTATTTGTATACTGATCAATGCTTTGGTCACATACATGTGCTTTTTGATAAACATCACAGTTACATGTTCAATGAGATCAATCGAAACGGCTTTTGCTTTTGTAATCCTTAGTTTTGAGTGAGTTGCAAATATTATTCCAGCTTCCTAAGTCACGACAACACTTTTTAAGCATGAATTGTGCCTTCAGTTATTTCACTTCAAGGTGCCCTGTAACTTTAGTATCGATTTGAGTATTTACAATAATTTAACTGTTAATGTTTCAGTTTATAATCCTCCAACGTTCGGTCTTCTTAATTTAACTTTCTATTAATTATTTTCCAATTATGTCATTGCTTTGTGATGTTGTTTTTGCCATTATTAAGACAAAGTATTTGATTATTCAACAAATTATCCAGTTGGATTTGATTTTTTATAAATTCAAATCTTTTTGCCACCTCCTTAAATAGACAAAGTTAATAACTTTTTATTGATTTAGAAGCTAAGACTCTAATTCCATTTGCATAAACCATCTCTCTCTTGGTTTTCCGACAGAATACCCACAATAGATAAATAAAGTATCAAACAAGAGTTACAATGGAAAAAAAAGAAGGAAGTAGTTATGGACTTATGGTAGTCGAGTGACACTTGCTTCTGCATTTACCTAATCCTCTCCAATTGTAAAAGGAGGTCATATGATTTTGTGGATAATGGAAGGAAAATCATTGAATCCATTAGTTACATGCTGCTAATCGTATTCGAGTGTAATCTAATGGGATATTATGTACTTTCGTGAATAAAATGAAAGGTAAGCCACGAGATGTTGAGGGGGATTTTGGAGTTAAAAAGCAAAATAGTTGGATTGACAATACACAATAAGGAAGGCCAAGATCACTTTAGAATATGTGAGAATTCCTATAACGCTTTTGAGGTGTCTTGGAGTTTTGTAGTATTTCTATAACGTGTAAAATACAATTAATGTAGTCAAAATCACGCTTTAAAATCTAAAAAATCACGGTTTTACTCTTCTATCTCACTAAAAAGCTTATTCGTAGAATCATATTTTTCACTCACAATTGTAGTCAAAATCTATGCTTTAAAGCTTATATTTTTACGCTTCTAGGTCCTAAAAAACGCTTCTACATAGAATCGAAATTTTGACTGCAATGAATACAAAATCGCAATGTAAGTATTTACGAAAAAGAATTAACAAAACATTTGATAATTCAATGTAGTAAAAAACATGTTTTGACTAACACCATGATATCCATTTCTACTAACATCATAATATCCATTGTAGTGTGTGGTTAAACTAAAAAATAAGTGCATGTTCAGATACGAAAGGGTACCCGTCGCGGAGCGCGGGCCATCTATCTAGTATATTATATAAAGCTTATGGAGGGGTAGTTAGGAGCACTTCTACTATACTATATAGTATTGGTGCTTTAATGTACAACTTAAAGTTGTACCATAACATTAAATGTATAAGTTTAGGTTGTACCATAAAGCAATTTGTATCATTATGTTATGGTACAACTTTACAACTTGAAGTTGTACCATCACATAAAGGTACAAGTTCAAGTTGTACCATAAAAGAATTTGTACTAAAAGTATAGGTACAATATGAAGTTGTACCATAAGGTAAATGTACAATTTTAAGTTGTACCATAAATGCAAAACCCTATAGCACCAATACTAAAAAGCATTGTAAAATTTCTCGGGTAGTTAGTTCTTATATATCACTTAAACAAAATGTATTCCTATTGTGTAATGATTCAATAATATAAGTTTTTGAAATAAAATTTTATTATTAATAGGAATACATTTACACAATAAAGATGAGTTATTCTTTTACATAACTGTTCGGTTATGAGATATTGTTAAGTTTATATATGGAGGGATAATAATTTCTTATACATCACTTAAACAAAGGTATCACATATGTGTTTTGTAATGATTAATACATTAAGTTTAGAGTCGACCAAAGAGTGTTCGATCCACTTCAAGTACGATCGATGGCAACTCCAAAAAGCGAAAACGAGCCGATCGAGTGACGGTTGCTACAGTAAGCTTATGAGATGGGTAAAGAAGGGGCCATGCAGTAGATTATTAGCTTCTTTTTCTTCCTTGTTGTCAATAGAGAGTTCCACTGACCTTTCGAACAATCTCCCTTGTTCACATTAAAATGAAGGATAAGGGTGCCCCAAGTATTTAAATCTCTGGTTATTCATAGGCTCAATAGAACCTGTTGTGTCAAGCAGATCATCGTTGACACGCCCAAATTTGCTAACAGTATTCATCAAACCAACAAAGATCATTTCCTGATTGTATTTGCCATTACCAAGTCTGTTTAAAGTCCTAAACATCTCTAATCGAAGTACTATGTGAAATCGTGAAGTAGACATGAAGCGACACATGGGTATGAAATTTAGAGATACATTGTTGAACTCAACACTTGTATTCCTACTAATTTGTGCATGTCCTTCAATGGAATAAGTTGTATTCCATTGTGCAATTGTATCAAGCAGAGCAAATACTGCAGTCCTAATGCAGCAGGACACTCCATTACAAGACTATTTATGCATGCATTCCCTTAATACCAATGGCCATTTGAAACTGTGTACAATAAACATCATAGATTGGCTGAACAAATTCACAAGGTTTTTAGATACAAAGTACAAATGGCCTGAGAAATTTATCTCAGATTCTCTCTTCTCTACAATATCTCACCTCCTCCCTCACCTCAAAAGTCTGAAACTTTATTCCTCTCTATGCCCCCCTACCAAGTATATAATTTCCCCTATTGTGGTATGCTTCATGAGATCATCTTTACTTGGTCTGGAAGGACCAGAACTAACTTAGATTAGACATTACCTTATGACTAGTAACTTGAGTGAAATTAAGTTAAAAGGAAAGAACAAATCCAACTCTAGTTGGATGACAAGTTACTGCAGTTGGAAATCAGGATCATCTTCAGTGAAGTTTAAGAATGTAGAGACCTAGATGGTCACCTATCATCATTCGAACAGCGATTGAACTCGTTCTGGAGATGACAAATCGGCCACGCTCTTGAACTGCCATGAATGAAGAGCAAACTTAGGAATACATCCATTTATGATGTATATGGTGTTTGCCTACATGAGCTGTTTTCTAACATATAGTTTACCTTCTGCAGTCTATACTTTTCGCGTATGGCATTGAGGGGACAACCACTAATGTTGAGCTGCAGATCTTCCAGTGCCAGTACTGTACTTCTAAGCTCTGGTGCCCTGTAATTAGTGTAATGCTCTAGAGTTGGATTCTGTCACACATGGTAAAGGCAGCCTCTTTGGTTCAGTGAAAACTTGATTAACAAGAAACAGACAGACGGACAAAAGGGAAGTGCAACATGGACCAGATAACAAAGAGAGAGAGAGAGGTATACCCAGGGGTGAACTGACTGATTGAGTGTCCATCTGGCCAGAAACACAGCAGATGCAGCAATTAAAGAAGGAAGGAACTTTATAAAGTCATATTCAACAAGAGTCAACTCTGCTAGGTAATTTGCCAAGTACTCCAGTTCGAGACAAGGATCCTGTTACAGAATTAATACAACCATCACTAGTTAGTTTTTGTGATGTCTGGTTCACTAATCCCACCGAGTTGTTTAAGTGCAGAGGCTGCAATCATTTTTTTATGCTCAAATACCTTGTAAGAGGTCTGCGCTGCTTGAATGAATCTCCTGAAAAAAACAAAAAGTTGAGAAGATCATATCATTTACTTTTCTGTTAGACTTGGAAGGGGATATCATTCAATGCTCTACCTCAGAAATGTCTTAGTGGTGGGAACTGACAAATTAAAGTGCATCATATCGACAACTTGCCTCTCCATTTTCAATACCTGCACACACATTAGCAGCTTCAGTATTATCCCGTGTCGCAGGGTCCAATGCAGTTCAAATGTGAAACATAATAAGACAGAATATCAGATAGTTGAAAGAGGAAAAAGGACAATCTGCATTCTTTACATACCTCTTCTCTTTTGTAAGTATTATCAGTGATGAAGCAGAACTCTTCTACCCGTGGAGCCAAGATTTCTTCATATTTTCTGAGACCATAGATAGGAAGACAGCCCATATAAGAATGATTTAGTACATCAGGATGATCCAATCAAGCTGAAACTATATAGTAAACTTTCAAACAGATTTTACAGCAAATGGAACTTACGATGCGATTAGCATGCATGTCACACCAAGTAGTTGGAGTCTTTGTTTCTCGATATAAATTTGGGAGAGAGATCGGTCAATGAGGTTAACAGTAAGGTAAAGGGTATCTGGAACAAGCTTATATTCTTCAGCAACCTGAAGATAGGATAGGAAACTACCGATCACAATTCACACTCACTCATTAACTGATGATTAACATGGTTTCACACACATAGAAGCAAGAAAATATAGTTTAATTTAATCATAGAAGGTTTCCCTACAACATAAAAAGAGCTCCTCTTTAGTTTAGAGCAACAAACACCTCTAGAAGTGAAACGTGAAACCATACTTGCATTACCTAGCATAAACTAATAGATTATAGCTGTGGTTAAGTATACAAACCTCTATAAGCCAGTCAATTAGTATTCCTCTCATGTTTGCAGTGACATCACTCTGCAAGGTCTCCATATAATTAGCTGGCGCCCTATGGTCAAGCTGAAGAATGAAAAATGTAAAGGTTAACCATAGTACGAATGGTAGATAATGCATTATGGTCTTGTCTCCTACAAAGTGATGATCACTAAAAAGTGCACCTCACTGAAGCAAATCATTTACAAGAGTAAATTTACAAATTAGTGAAGCATTGATAAGACATAGCTGGTAGGCTGCCAGTTCAGTGGAACAGAATAGGCTACATGAGCACAATTTTTACAAACCTACCTCTGTAACAAGCATATGTTTATAGATGTCAGGAGCATATTGACTGCAGTCCTGAGGATCTTTTGAGTCAGAATCAATGTCCGCTATGCCTAGACTATTGCAGGCATCTTCTTTCTGAAAGCTCATACTCACTTCTGCACAAGTACAATTCAAAGGATCATCAGCGAGAGAGACTAATTCCTACTTCCTATTCGTAATTTCTGCTGATAAGAACCACAATCGAAATTCTATGTACGTGTTCAATGCCATTAATATATAATTATGTAACGAAAAACAGGCAGGACCTTTGACCTTTATTTTCACGCTCAGCAGGTCTGGTGGGAGGACATGTTGGGAGGACAGCATTTTCTGCATTGTTCTTTACTTGAACAGGAACCCTGCATGGCTGCTTTACATCTAACTTTTCTGTCTGATTAATCCCTTGAGCTTCTGCCTTCCTGGACTTTGAAGGTTCCTCCACCAGTTTTGTTTTCCTATTCTCTTGTTCAACCTCTGGAGCTCCCACAGGAAAGTCAGTAGCCACCTTGGAATTTTTCTTTGACTGACATCTTCTAGTTTGCTTGCTGGCCTATTAAACAGAAAGTAAGGAGAAATCATTTGAAATTTACCCTGATCAGGTGAAAGTCAATCACCACTGGGTCATTCCGGTGAACTCTACAACAAGCCCTGAGAGAACAGGGGAACTTCTTTACCTGAGCTCTAGTTGCATTGGTGCTGTTAGCGTCTGAATGCTCAGTTAAGATGTTGGTCACTTCTTGCAGCACGGTCCTCCTCTTACACTGAACACCACCCCCCATTTTGTTCTCTTCTGAAGCTGGTCTCTTTGTACTTACTTTGGTGACACGCTTCTGCTCATGTTTGAAGGAAGGTTTCGAGGACGGTAACACACCTGCCGAAGCCCCAGAAGCTCTGGCGCGTGCTCTGGTAATCCGGACAGCGGGCTCTTCAACTTTGGCATCATTTCTATTTTCCTTGTTCATGTTGCTTTGCCTTGAGAGCAAGTGTTGAAGCACGAAACTTCAAATTGACACACTGCTCATTGTACCTGCAATGGCAAGTGCAATTCAGTCATCACAAGCAAATAAGGCGTCTTCTATAAACACCGAATCTAAGTTCATCTCGCTGAGTATCATTACTAAACTTAAGTTAACGCAACCAAATACAGTCGTTTGATAGATCCACTAACAATGAGTTGATATGAGATCAGAGCTTAGAGTTTCACTTCTATGACCACATTCATTGCGATCTAAACACATCTCCACGTTAGGTAACCAAACCAAATCCATCTTTTTTTTTATAAAAGAAAAAAAAATACAAATCAAAAGAATTTGACTAAAACAACCAGCCAACCATTTGGAACACGATGTCAAAGTAACTTCAAAAAATTCCCGAGCACTTCAAAGATTTTAACTTCAATTTAAGCAGGGTCCCTTTGCAGTCGCATCCTGGTTCCTGGTAATGAGCTCCAACGCTCTCATTGGTGTGCTTGAAGTAAATTTAGAAGCAAGCACAATAGTCCCAACAAAACTGTATAATCTTTACAGGTTTTGCTTAGAGGAAGAACTAGATCCGTGGCCTCAGGGTAGATGTAGAACCAAGGAAAGAGATCTGAAGAACACATCAACAGAAAAGCACACATTTTTCTCGTTTAGGCATTTTCTCATTTAGAAAGTAGGCACATTTCCCAGATTTAAAAAAAAAAAACCCCATAATTTTCCCCCTTCAAAATGAATCAAAATTTCCGAACTTTGACCCAGGATCTGTTCATCCCGTGTACCCAAATGGAGAAACAACAGACAATTCCTCCTAAAAATGAAACAGAATCCCAGCTGAGCCGAAAGTCCACAAACCCGCCGAAGAAATAACAAAATTTCAGCAAATCGGAGAGCTCGTCAGAGGGAATTCTGATTCCTCGTCCCCGAAAACCAGCTCCAAAGAATCCGCAATGCAGTAGGTCGAAAACACACCCCCACCAAAATTTTAAAATGCTTCCCACTCAGGAACCAAGAAACAAAAAATCAAAATCAAAATGAGGGCAAGAAAGACCACGGCGGCGAGGAAAAAAGCCCCTCCGCCGCAGATCTATCTCGTGAAAGGGAAGTCAAAATTCCGCCGTCCCTTAACAGAATGCGATTCAAGCAAGAACAAGTACCCAAATCAAAACGCCATCAAACACACATTCCCCGGGAGAGCAAACAGGGAATCAGATAGAAAGGAGGAGAGGGAGTGAGCTTACTGCGCCTCCCTGCGAGCTCCTCCCTTCGCCGGCAATGCTGAGAAATTGGAAATGGGAAATGAAAAGAGAGAGGAACAGGGAAGGGAAGGCTGGTAGTGGAGGATTATATTGTGAAGAAGAGAGCGTCTCAGCCTCAGCTGTGGAGTGTTTGGGAGACTGAAGAGAGCGGGGTGGTGCCACAGTTTGAAATCTTCCCCAAAAGCGGAAATGGAAAATTAAATTAATAAAGACCCAAAAAAAAAAAAAAGAGTCTAAATTTTAAACAGTACTAGGAGTAGCAGGCTAGCAGCAGTGGTTGTTTCCATTTTCCAGAGACAGCTCAAATAATGGCCTTTTTCAACCCCCAAAAAATCTGCACAAGCACAACGACTTGCCTTGCATCTTGGTCCACCTATTTTGAGGGGTCAAAATTTGAATCTATATTTTAACTATGGTTTCTAACTTTTTTTGAAATGGAAGTATTTCAGAAAATTTGTTGTGCCGAAAGTTGATAATTTGTCAAAATATATTTTTCAAGTACCACCTTCTTTATAACTACTTAATTGTGTATAGGTTTTAATGAGTTAGAAGGTTAACGAACTTACACACGGGCTTATTTGATTTTAATTCTATTCATGTTATAAAGGTTGAAACTTTGGTTTGCATGTTATTTCCTACAGCTACAAGTAAATAAAAACATTTAAATGAAAAGTTTTAGGTTTATTATGATTTGGAGAAATAAATGTTTTTTCCTTGAAATTTCTGGATCACGATGTTCTCGTTTCTTTTACCCGATTTACGAGGATGTGATAGTTGCTTTTGTAGTTGAAAGTTTTATTTATTCTTGTTTTTTCCTTCTTTTGACAGGTAAGCTACCATGGTAATCGAGTTTAATGAAATTCACACCTAATCGCTAATGAAATGTTAGTGGCGTATTTAAAACTCTCGGGGTCGTTTGGATACATTTATGAAATGAGGCAATTTGATCCGATTGTCTCATAATTGTCTCAAAAAATTTATCAATTCAAAATATTTGCCCCTCCCCATGCCAATCGAATTTATGCAAAATGAAGCAATCCAAGTTTCCTCAACCCAATTGTTGCATTCCTGTTTTGTGTTGTAAAAGTGACAATTTGACCCAATTGCTTTACTTTAAGATAATTGGGTCAAATTGACTCATCTAATATCATCGTTCAAATAACCCTGGATTTGTCATATTACTTCTACTAGAATTGTAAATGTATATTGTAATTAATTTTGTGATACTTAAATGTGGCAACTCGCAACTACCTACTTGGTGGATTCAAATATGCCTTGAAAATAGCATAGTCCATGAAACCGTATCCTACCGGCGGTTCAACCACAAAATACCAGTATCAGAGGCTAAACCGGTAGGCGGTATTTAACGGTATTAACGGTTAAACTACGATTAAACCACAATTTTGCTATAAAATACCCTACCGCTGACTTTTCCGGTACGATGTCCGATACGGTTTCATGGACCATGGAAAATAGTGGGTGGAGGAAATCTAGCAAGGCTAAAAGGGAAAATATGTACTTCCAAGTTCCAATTGACAACTTTCTTTTTTGTTATCTTTTCAAAAAAAAAATTGAGTACTTGTTGGTCCATGAGGGGAAAAGGTTGTGACCCAATTGCTAATAACTGCAAAATTGAGTAGGCAAAAGGAGAACTTTCCCCCAAATTCCAGTCTGTAAGCATTGCCATTGGTCGCTTTTTAATGTGTTGGGCACTTGGCAGCACCACGTGGTGGCAATTGCCGAGTTCTGGAGCTTTTAGCCTTTACTTACTCACTCGCTGAGTCACCACTCTTCCGCAGAGCTTCCTATTTATTTATTTATTTAAAAAATACAAAAACAAAAAAAAAGTGTTTGGAAGATGATAATTTATTGACTTGGTCACTGTCTCTCTCTCTCTCTTTGGAACACAAGATAAGCTAAAAAGGCCGGCTATTAGGCTATACTTGGTATAATATCCGAGATCTATGAGCCTAGCTCTTGTTTTAAATTTTTTCAACTTCAAAATTTTCAAATATCTTTGTTTCAGATATCTTTGCTGGAGTTTATTTTGGTATACAAAGCACACTCAAATGCATTATATTAATTTAGATGATCCAATCCAGGTGGTATAAAAAAATAGGGTAAATTGCAAGGTTAGTCAATGACATTACCAAAAAAGTTCATGTTTGGTCACTAAAAAATTTAATTTCATTCGTGATCACTAAAATCAGTTAAATATTTCAAGTTTGGTCACTCTCCGTCCAACTCCGTTAACTTTAGTTGATGAGGCAGTCAACTCTGATAGTTGACCATTAATTATGTGACGTGGCAACTAAAAAAACTATACAAAAATAAAATTTAATCTTTTAAATTGTCCACCTCATTTCACAACTATTTAAAAATAAAAATAAACTTACTTTCCTATAATTAAACTATTGACCGTCTTCCCGTCTCCGCAGCCGCCAAAATCGGCAATCCATATCTCCGACGCCGGCCAAGCCTGTCCAAAGTGACACCGCTGTGACGCAGCAGAGGAGAAGGCAGAGTGAGAGCCGCAACATCATTGGGACGAAGAGGATTAAAATTGGAGTTGGTTGATATGGGGATAGTTCCAAAAGGAAGTTTAGATCTACTACGGAGAGGGATTAAAGAAATGAGAGAGGGAGGGGAGGGGGAGCTAGTGCCATTTCACGGTGCGAGTAATATTGACCTGACCGCGAGTCGCCATAGAAATTGTTCCAAGCCTGCGTTTGCTCCTCCTCGATTGTTGACAGCATCATCCTTCGAATCAATAAATCAATTGACACTCGAATCTCGGCTTCAACGCCTATTGGATTCCAAGAAAAATAACTCATATTTGCCCCGGTGGAAGAGCTGCCCCGGAGAATCACCGTCCCGAAGGAATCGGCGGTTTGTTCAGGTACGCCGACGGGAAGCTCGGATGGTGCCCAGTTGAGGTCTCCCATTTCTGGCCGCAAATTGAATGGAAGAACCCTAGAAATGAAAGGCTGGAAGCCGTCAATAGAAAAGAGGATTTAATCATTTCTTGAATTTTCAATGTTGAATCAGCAGCAAAAAGTACTCATAGTTCGACGAGTCGAGAGTTAGCGAGTATGAAATCGAAGATTGGAATCGGCGGCTCCAAATTCATCATTGACGCAAATAGGCAAGGGGAGGGAGAGACTGGAGTGAAGGAAACCACTGCCCAAACAAAGGAAGTCGGATTGAGAGTCGGAAGTGAGAAAGGATATTGTAGAACGCAGCGCGACGGTGAAAACAGACGTAGGCGAGGAGGAGGATTCACCATTTTTTCTTACATTTCATAGGTTATAATTTCTTTTTATCTTTTTAGTAGTTAGAAATGTGCTGGAAAATTTTTAAAATGAAATTTTATTTATTTTATTATTTTTATTTGCCACATCACGTATTTAACGGTCAACTCCAAGAGTTGACTGCCATGTCAGTCAAAGCTAACGGAATTGGACGGTGAGTGACCAAATTTGAAATATTTAACTAATTTTAGTGACCACGAATGGAATTAAATATTTTTAGTGACCAAACGTGAACGTTTTCAGTTTGGTGTCCGTGACCAACCTTGCAATTAACCCCAAAAAAATATGAACAATAGGTTAGTGACCAAACGTGAACGTTTTTACTATGTCGATCTTCAATTGGGTAATTCTTCACGTTTTGAAATGTCTTGAGTTTTTTATCTTATTTATTTCATTAACGGATTTAGTTTTACTATTATTTTCTATAGGTTAAAGGTATAATATGTCATATTGCTGTGTAATTTTATCAAACATATTCATTTCTTGTTATTTACATAAAACATACCTATTTAATTTGAAAAAACTTCTCAAATATCATATATGTTAAAATTGACTCGATCGGCCTTTATTTTGAGTTTGAAGTGCATAGTAATGGACACGTTATAATTTTGTATGAATTTCTCGTATAATTTTGGAAACATTATTAGCTATTCCTTCATTGGGTTTTTTTAAATAAAATATAATAGCCAAACCTTTCATTTCAAACAAAATAATAGCTAAACCTTTCGGAAAAAAAAAATAATAGCCAAACCGTTAACTTTCCATTCAGTTGACCATTAATTGACTCTGACCTGGCAATTTAATTGCTGACTTGGAAGATTATTGATGATGTGGCGAATTGACTGTACTTTTCATATTTTATTAATTTCAACCTTATTATTTATTCCTATTTAGGCGAATTTAGGGGGAAATTGTGAGAGAATTTGGGGCTTTTTTCAATCTTGTTGAAAGGAGACTCGATGCACAGAGGGGAGGATAAATAAGGTTCATGAAAATCAATTTGGAAAAAAAATTTGGGTAAAATTGACATGGGCGGACCCAAGTGGGTGAAAAGGTTGTCAATTGACAAACCTTGGATCCAATTTAGGAAACCAAAATCACTGTAAAATTTTGTTTTAGTAATTATAATATTCAAATGTAAGATTATTTGACAATCTTTAATGATTTTGATCTATAGTTGAATACCCTTGATTACATTTCTGGGTCCGCCACTAATAATTGAGAAGTAGGGTAGGGGAAAGGGTGGACGACACATGCAGGGATTTGAGTGAGAGAGGAAGGGGACGAGGTAGGGGGGAAATTGATTTTGGTGGGGTTTTGTTTTCTAATTTATTTATTCATCTAAAAATAAAAAGTTATATTATATTTATATGAAATAATTATATGTTTCATTTTTCGCCACATCATCAATAATCTTCCAAGTCAGCAATTAAATTGTCACGTCAGATTCAACTAACGGTCAACTGGATTGAAAGTTAACGGTTTTGCTATTATTTTGTTTTTCGATAAGCTTGACTATTATTTTGTTTAAAATGAAAAAAATTTTGGCTATTTTATTGTATTTACTTTTTTTTTACCATGTGAGCTATTCTTATTTCCTTTGTTTTGAAAAAGCTCTACAATCATCATAAATGCCCTGATTATATGGTAACATCACACCAAATTAACCAGATTGGTTCATAAATATAGGAGAACAGAATACAAGGAGAGGGAAACATTCTAATTAATTTCGTTACCTTTTTCAACGAGCCAATTTAACAAATATTTGCCTTGTACCTTGTATTGGGAAACATAATTTCATATTTCTACAAAATTGGGGAATGATTTTCATATGATATGAACAATGAACCCTAGGATTAGATTGAAGGAAATGCAATTTTGGGGCGTGAAAATAACAATAAAAAGGAAATGAAATTTAGGGTAGCCAAAGAAGATCCAAAGAAAAATCTGCAGCTAAATACTATCCGGTTCTACTTAGAAATTAGAATAAAAACTTCCATTGCATTTGCAATGGAAGATCAATACCGATTAGGCTTTCCTGATCAGATAACAATGCGAAATATAAGGAAATAATACATAAATTATTTCCGACTTATTTTTAAGGATTCTAGAACCGTATAAGAGGTTGTAGTGGAAAAGTTAGCATTTAACCTTTGATATGAGAATTTGTTGGTCGAACTGTCAATACGGTACGATTTTTCAATGGTTGCTTAATTTACAATATCAGATCACATGGTATATTTATGGCAATATATATGTTACAATTTGAAATTACAGTTTATTTATCGCAATTTAATTCTTGTGTACGAAGATGAGTAAAACTAAAAAAAGTTGTTGTTTTGACCTTTCGACTCGATTAATTTATATATTTATAACTCAACTAGCTAAACAGATTTAAGTCTTAACATATATAAACCAGTTTGGTGGAACCAGTCCAATCTATATAGAACTCGTTTGACTCCGCTATAGTTTTTGCAGAAGCAACTTCTGACTAAAGCTTTTAGAGATATATTTAAAAAAAAAACATAGTTCTTCGAAGCTGGGCGTTCAGTGTTCTTATGGAGGAAGCATACTAGAAAGAAAATAGAAAAGGCCAACACTTAAAAAAGAGCGTTAGAGTGATGGGCAACCTTAGTCTATATGTTGCTAGTGAGCCTCCAAGTACCAGTCTCGCAACAGTACTGTCTAGGGGTGGGCATCGGTTCGGTTCGGTCAAAACCGAACCGAAATGGAGCATACTGGATCCCCGACTTCATCTAAACCCCAAACCGAATTCGAACCAAAATATATATCGGTTCGGTCAGTCCGAATCAAAATATATATCGATTCGGTCAGTCCGAACCGAAATATATATCGGTTCAGTCCGATTTTAATGCTCAACCCGAAACCCTTCCTTCCTTTTGTCTTCTAATCTGCCTTCTACAAGACTGCAACCCCTCTCACTTTCTTTTTCCTTTTTCGACAGATCCATTCCCCTCTCTCTCCCTTTCCATTAATTTTCTACCCCTCCAATTCTTCATCTCTCCTTTTTTCCAATCTTCCCGTACAACATCACACCACCAAAATCAATTCAAACCCAGATGGAGGGGAGGAAGGAAAGTGGCTATGACGGCAAGGAGTAACGACGAGAGAGAAGGAAGGGAAGTGGTACGCCGCCGTCGGATCTGCTCTACCCACTCCACAAGCCGCCGTTGAGCACGTTGCCGCCAAGATGTCAACACTAGAATCGTCGGTGCTAGATCTCCTTTCCTCTCCTCCCTGGTCGAGGTCAACCTGCTTCAGATCGGCTCCAGTTGCAATGCCGCTCAAGGATTGGGATATCTTGACTCGGATTCTCTTCTCTAGGCGGCAATGGCGAGAGATGATAGATGAGAGATGGTCTTTGTTGGTTGTTTGCAGAGAGAGGTGAGAGGGGTCATGGCCTAGGGTTGTGTGATTCATTATTTGGATTTTGTGCTCAGGAAGGTAAGTCTTTTGGGCTTGTTGGGGGACTGGGCTATGATGATTATTGGGCTGGGCAACATGTTTCGGTTTGTCGGTTCGAAATTCGGAACCTCGGTTTCGGTCAAAAGAATCTTGGTTTCCGAATTTGGCACATTCTCCTTCTGAATTCCGAACCGAATAACAATAATTCGGTTTCGGTTCGGTTTAAATTGGGTTTGGTTTGGGTTTACCGAACCGTATGCCCACCCCTAGTAAATGATCGGTCCTTCATTTGCCGATTGTTTGCGTGTTGAACTCGCTCTCTTCCCACGCCTTTCACTAACGGGATTTTTCCAATAATAGCACCTTTAAAAAAATATTACCCAGCCCATAAAAATTACAAAAATAACACCCTTTTTTTGAAACCGCACCTTCAGGGTGCTTTTTAATTATAAACCGCACCTTGGAGATGTGGTCCTTGCCACGTCAGCCAGGAAACCGCACTTAGATGGTGTGTTTGTGTTTCCTCCGGAGAGGCCTTTAAAACCTTTGGATGAGGCGGCGATCCAACGGCGGACCACACGCCAAGTCAGCGATCTGTGACATGGATCGAAGACCGCTCCCTCTGCCAGCGTTCCACACCTCGAGAAACGGAAACCGCACCCTCCTGATGTGGTTTCAATGAGTGCAAAATTACAACACCGCCCCTGGAGGGTGCGGTCTGAATGGTATAAATACCCCCCTCCTCAATTTTTCACACCACAACCCATTCTTCACTCTCTCTCTAATTTATCTCTCTATCCCCTCCCCTCCCAAAAGCCTAGGAAATAGTGGTATGTTGGTTGCGGCTAAGTCCGATCTGCCATCATAAAACATTTCTTTGGTTTTTCCTTCAAAACCCGCCGAATCTCTGTCATACTTTCGCGAAAAAATGGACGAGTGGTTCCAAGGAGAGGGAGTTTATTATGATGAATTTCATGCGGTACGTACTCATTATTCTGGTCAATTTTTGCTGTTTTTATAAGCTTTTTAATTAATCTATGTACTAACCTTGTTGTTATTCTCTCGTAGGTTGGGGACGACGTGGATATATACAACCAACGATATTATTTGGATCAAGGACCTATTGATCCAACCGACTAGTACGACCAACCCAACCATCGTTCAAGGGATGTTTGGAACGATCACGAGGTACATACAATTCTTCATCATTTGTCTTTCTTTTATTTTGCTAATGTACTTAGTGGAATATAAAATAAATTTGATCATTTTTAATCGTATTGGTTGTTTTCAATAATTTAATCGAATACATAGCGCCACTTACTTCGACTCTTTATAAAGAGATAATCGTATGGGCTAGGTGCTATTTTTTTAAAAAGGTGCTATTTCTGGAAAAATCCCTTCACTCACTCGCTTGAGTCAGACATCGCTCTCTCCAGGAGGTTGGCCGCCTATCCTAGATCTTCCCATTGGCAGAAAAATTAGAGCAATTCTACTATGCTATATAGCATTGGTGCTTTAATGTACAACTTAAAGTTGTACCATAACATTAAATGTATAAGTTTAGGTTGTACCATAAAGCAATTTGTATCATTATGTTATGGTACAACTTTACAACTTGAAGTTGTACCATCACATAAAGGTACAAGTTTAAGTTGTACCATAAAAGAATTTGTACAAAAAGTATAGGTACAATCTGAAGTTGTACCATAACGTAAATGTACAATTTTAAGTTGTACCATAAAGGCAAAAACCTATAGCACCAATACTATATAGCATTGTAAAATTTCTCGAAAAATTATTAGAAGATTCATCTGGAAAAAACTATTAGAAGTACTTTTTAATATGAGAGGTTATGTAAAATGACTATAAATGACTTGTAATATAAAATATGAATACAAATTCTTAACAATAATTAGTAGTTAAAATAAATCTTGTTAGATTTATTTTATAATAAATAATATGATGTTATAATTTATTTATTTTTAAAACGATAAATATGAAATAAAATTTTATTTTTTTAAATAAAATTAAAATATGGTAAAGATAGTCTTGTATTTTCAAAAAAACTTTTCGCAAAAGCTTCAAATCGGAGCTTCTGCTTTTATGTTATACAAAAAAGCTTTTTGACATTACAAAAGTCGAGCTTTTAGAGGTGTTTGGTCATGTTTCATCTTTTGAAATTGAAAAACACTTGTAAAATTCGGGCCAAACACAGGCATAAACAAGAGTGAAAACATCGTTGTTCCCCACAACCCAATCCATAATTTTAATTGTTTCAATTAATTTACGTTAATTATCGATTAATCATTATCCAGTTTTGCAAGCGATGGTTTCATAAAAATTAAAAAAAAGTTTTGCAAGCGATGGCAGCGTCCTGCAGATTTTAAAAGTCTCGGGCCCATGGATTACAAAGTGGCGTGGGGTTAGCGGGCCCAGTCGGCCATCCAGATTCTTAAGTGGGCGCCGGTGAGAAGCCTAAAATGGTCGGAATCCAAAATCTTATTAGAAAGCAGACAAGACTCTGAAAAAGTATAAAAAGGAGAAAAAGTGCAATCCAGAGAGTTTGAACTAGCACTGGGCCTGGCCTTGGTCCGAGAGTTTGATTATTATATATTTTGATGTGTTGTTATCATTTATAATATGTAATTTTTTATATAGATAAAAAATATATATAAATGATTAATAAATATAAACAACTAATATTTAGAAAGTAAATGATGTCTATTTGTTTTGTATTTCATGTAAGACAACATGAGAATTTTCTTCCATTACTCACACAAAATCAATCTTAATAATAAAAGAAAATTATTGTCCATTCATGTAGTTTAATCAAATATTTTTTCTCAATAGTTACCATCTTTATTCATCACGGTATGTTATAGATATTAAATAATATCATGTGAAAGAATATATATGACACATTAGAGATTGATCAACAATATGAAGTACCATGTTGAAGATGTACCACGATGATGTGAAAACCACCCTCGATACAACATTAATCTTATTTGTTTTGCACAAACTAATATGGTATAGAATTTGTGACCATTTTGCATCCATGCACGAGAGTGTCGTTGTAGAAGTTGTTATAGAAACCAGAAAATGACCTAGCGTCAAGATTGAGAGTGAGCATTCTTAATACGAGTCAAGGGCTCGAGGCATAAAAGAAAAATCAAATGAGTATTTCGTGCACTGCGGAAGTTATACTTAAATGCTCATTGTTAACTTCAGTATTAATATTTCAATGTGAAAGTAGAGGTAGACAAAACAGTGTGCAACGAAGAGCAAATTGATCTCAATTTCTCAAATGCTCAATACATGTGGCTCACTTTGAAGACCAAATGTTTAAGTAACTTTATGCCTTCATGTTGCATCTTGTTCTCCCTAAAATCCATAGCATACGCAGATGTGCAACAAAAACCTTTAATTATGCTCCCAAGAGAAACACAGGGAAAGGCAATTAGATGTAAAAAAACAAATGATGAAGAATTGTATGTACCTCGTGATCGTTCCAAACATCCCTTGAACGATGGATTGAAGATGAGAGTCAAAGACATTGTCAAAAAGAGGTTCATTGTGAAAAATTCAATATCAAGAAATCCAAAAAGAGTTATACATGAAAAAAGTCTTGTGTTTCCTAGTCAATTAGATAGCCAAAAGCAAGAGAAATAGACAAAAAAAAAATTATAACCTATCAATTTGAAGGTCTGATACATGAAAGCAAATAACAAAACAATACCATATAGATAAAGATGTTCGCAAACACTAAACAATAGATCCACCATTCATTAATCCTCAAGTTGTCAAGGATACAATTAGATGAAGTTTATCTCCACCAAAACATAAACATATAGCACGCAGTTTACGGTTTAGATTCAATCATTAAGCTAATTATTTATCAAGTTTCTTAATTTAATAGGAATCATTAGATTAATAAAGAAGAAAAAATCTAAAAGAAAAATGTTGATATTCTAAATTAATAATTAGTTTAATAAATATTTAAAAAATAAAAATGTGGAAATTTAATCTCTCACTCTTTCTCTACCACATTCAAATCTGTCGGAACCTCCCATTTTGTACCTTTATATTTTCTCACGCAACTAATTATTTCTCAAGTTTCTTAATTTAATAGGAATCATTAGATTAATAAAGAAGAAAAAAACCTAAAAGAGAAATGTTGATATTCTAAATTAATAATTAGTTTAATAAGTATTTAATAAATAAAGATTAGAAACTTCAACCTCCCACTCTTTCTCTACCACATTCAAACTGTGCCGGAAGCTACCATTTTGTACCATTCTATTTTCTCACGTCGTCCGACACATTCACTTCTAATACGAAATATATGTTATCAAAGTCATGCAGCTAACGACTCAATCGAAAGATCGATTGAGCTCGAATCAAGAACGAAGCGTTCTTAATACGAACTTGGATAAAACGTAACCAAAAGGACGATTCCACACCTGGGGAACGCTCGATTGGTATAAAAGGTAGATGCCCGAACACGATTGAAGTGAATATTCAATCGATACAAGAGCTCACAAGCTTGGAATCCACCGAACTTAACACAAGTTGCAACTTGCACAAAACCAAAAGGTTCTCAATTCGATTAATCAAAGTCTAAGTTTTTACAACGTAAATAGAAGGCTATTTATAGCCAAGAAAACCTAATACAAACCTAGATGAACAAGGAAACAAATAAGGTAAAATTATACTCTAAAAAGGTTACAAAATTCGGACACAAACTTCATTTTTTGAAGCACAAGTAAGCTGCCCGCAAAACAGTCAAAAGACAGCTTTTGTACTAACTTCGCGCCTTTTGTTCGAGACCTTCCCGAACTCCAATTATTCATCCAATTCCTTCCCTTTGTTCACAAACATAACTAGTTTCACGTTGTGGAAGCTCTTTGACATGAATCCCATCCATGCTCCTTGAATTGAGCTCCAAAGTAGACTTCACAAAACAGTTTTCTGCCTTAGCCATTTTCTGGCAGTTTTCCAGTTTTGAGGTAGCA